TGACCTTAAATTGTATCAATAAATGAAAATCTATTCCAAAACAAAGTATTCATATCTATACCATAATTCCCTTTTTATCTTTAAAAAGAACTGGCTGTGATTATTAACCATTTATACCCAAGTCCATTTAAATGAAAACAAACATTTATAAATATTTGGGAATTTGGGCGTCGTTCTTTCCAAACTACTTCCTGCTGATAGGGGGCACTGTCATGGGGGATCCTGAGAAGATGTAGAAATCTTGGCTGTAGTCTGCAAGGCTGCTTTGTTCAGCTATTTTGAATGTAGGATCACCTGGTCCTCTGTTTCAGGGGGTCTGGCTTGATCAAACCACACAAATCTGGAAGGAATCCACAGCTTTTTATTTTCTGTGGAAACAAAAATAGAAATCCTTTTCCCCAGTAACTTGTCCTTAAACTTAAATGTTGGAGTCAAAGCATTTTTAAAATATATAAATTTAATTAATCCAGCAGCATTTCCTTTATCAGTTGTTATTTTCTCAGCAGTCAAACAATGTAGAGACAACACAATAGCATACAATAACCAGATTCTCTCTGAGCTTTTCATCTTTACGTGCCTTTATTACTCTGTTTATTTTACTTTTATTTTTTTTTTTATTTTTTGACATAGGGTTTCACTGTGTAACTCTTATCTGTCCTGGAATTTACTCTGCATACCAGGTTTACTTTGCAAATCACAGAGATCTGCTTGCCTCTGTCTCCTGAGTGCTGGGATTAAAGGCGTGTGTTACAACACCCAGCTGTTCCCTCTGTCTTTTTAAAACCATGTTTTTTTTTTTTCAGGCCTATGTATTTTTTTTTTTTAAACACACTGTAAACTTTTAGCACCTTTTCTTAATGTGAATCTGTCTCTACTGTAAATCTTTATCTTTTTCTGGCCACAAGTCTTTTATCTGGTAAACAACAACATTGCTAAAATGAAAGTCATAGCTGTGTCAGCCGCGGTTTACCAAAGATGGTGGCGGGTATTTTACCGCCAGCATGGAAAGCTGTGCTCACCGCCTTGGTCTGCGCTGCCACCCAGAAAGCATGCTGCCGGCTTGGAGATGTGGTCACTGCCATCGCCATCTCTCATACACACCAATAAACTGTTAGCAGAGTTATTTAAAAGCTGTGCAGTTTTTTGCCGTTTATGCTGAGTCAGGAACCTTCCCTTAAAGGAGCCGCGCGAATATCTGCTTGTCTCTAGCAAGTCAGAGTCCAACCGAGAAAAATGCTGTTACCAAGAAACCTTGCTTATTTCTGTTCTTTTGTTTCTACAACCCTTTTTTAAGCTTTTGTTAAATTTTAAGTGGAAGTTCTTATTAACCACGTTGGGCGCCATTTGTAACAAGTACGGGTTTTTCTGCCTGCCGCCGCCCGGTCTTGTCCGGCAGCTGCGCCGCCAGCCCCAAATAATACACAGAGACTCTGTATTTGATATAATCCTGTTGGCCAGTTACTAGTTTCTTATTGGCTAGCTCTGCCTTAGTTATTAACCCATTTCTGCTGATCTATGTATTTCTCTTACCAGGGAGCCGGCGGCATACTGCTTTCTTCAGACTCTCCATCTTGACTCCTCCGTCCTCCTTCCTATTTCCTCCTTGTCTCCTAGTCCCTCCTATCTTCCTTTCTTATTGGCCAACAGTGCTTTATTATTAACCAGTATGAGAAACATATATACATAATGGCATCTCCCATCACCCACCTGCCTTCAGTCCACTCACAAACTGCCTTCTATTTTCCCTTCCCAGGGAGACCCGGGTGTCCCCCCCCCCCCCAAAGACCTCTGTTACCTAGGCTCTCTTGATCTGTGGATTTTAGCACAGTTGTCCTTTATTTTATAGCTAATATCCACTTATGAGTGAGGACATACCATGTTTCTATTTTCCAGTCTGGGTTACTTCATTCAGAGGTTGTACTTGTCTCACCTTCTAGAATTCATAGATGAGTAAAATAAGGCTCAAGAGACTTAACTCATTGCCACCAGTCCAAAGGCCCCTTCCAAGTCTGACAGACTTCATTACACTGGCCCAGGACATGTACATTCTGGAACATGTCCATTCACTCATTTTACAGTGAAATGCCACCACCTTGGGTAAATGACTGTTCCTCTGGAGCCACAATCCCTATAAAAACTGATTACCCTCTTTATAATGTAAATTAATGATTTTGTCAACCCTGTACTATGTCCCATGTTCTGTGAAACCCAGAACTCTGAGGTTTGCCTCAGTGTCTTTGCTGTGGGTCTCTGGCCTACAAAATGCCATAGATACATGTGGATGCTGCATGACACTTTAATGCCTATCCCCATCCCATTGGGAGAGTAGATGAGGGGTGGGCAGGTGTGGGAAGGCGGGTGAACCTAGAGAAGAAGACCCTAACATCCAAGAAGACTCAATGTGTGTCTGGGTAGTCCTAGGGTCTCTCTGCAAAGTGTCTCCTTGTACTTTGCTATTAGAAAACTATTCGACTAATGAGTCATTTGGTGGCTATGAATGTTACCTGGTCTTCCAGCTAGAAATGCCACCAATTAGATTTATCTGGGTCACAAAATTATTTCTTTAAAAGGCAAAGTAGGGCAGCCTACAACGAAAAGACACTTATTTTGGAGGTACACTGAATTTGGGATCTGCCCTGAGCCTCTGTATGGCTCAGCCCTCAGTACCGACGATTTCCTCATCTGTAAAACTGGAATAATGATGCCTAACAAACAGTGAGGCTGGGTCGGACAAAATGCAGTGTGAAGTATTCAGTCCAGTGTCTGGAACACAGGTGTTTCATGAAGGCATCTCTGGGTGTTGATCCAGTTTGAGTTTGGTAATTGCTGAACTGTCATCTCACCAGTCAAGCTGGGGCGGGGGCAGATTCCTAAACTCCAGAACTCCACATCAACATCTAGTCAGAGTCCCTAGCAGGCTAGAGGATGGCAGCAGATGGAGGGCAAGGACTCGCAGCTCCCTTCCTCGGCCCACGCCTACCCAGCCCGGAGCCTATACAGACTGCACAGCGACGCTTTAGGAGGCGGGGCCTACAGGGGTTAGGTGACGTCACTCAAGGAGGCGGGGCTGCGTCTATGGGTGGAGCCCCGAGATGGTCAGGGCCCGACTAAGTCCCCGGTTCCGCCTCCGGAGGGAGGCTGCGGAGGGGCCGACCGGAAGTTCTTCCGCCTCCGCCCGCCTCCGTGCTTACTACCTCGGCTCTGTCGACCCCGTGAGCGAGGTCGTGCCCCGGAAGTAAAGGGGCCATGTTGATGGGTGACCCCGAGAGAGGTACTGGGCCAGTGGAGACTCCTGAGGAGAGGTAGCGCGTGGCCCGCGGGTGAGTGAGGGAGCGAATCAGGGCGGCCGGGGATCGCCCTCTTGCGCTCGGGCCGGCCGGGGCTACCGGCTGCCTCCGGAGCCTCCAACCCTCGCCCCGCCCCAGACCGGGTTCATCAAGCCTGCCTGGCCCCGTGTCCCCGTCCCCGCCCTCCGGGAATTGTACCCCGGCCGGGCCTATAGTCGGTCACTCAGCGATCTTGTTCCAGCCCCTGCGTGACGCTCTCCTTCCAGCCCTCTGTTGTTTTTCTGCATCTCTTGCATCACCAGAGACCCTTAGGGCCGAGGGGAGCTGCTCTGCAGTTAAGGGAAAAAAGTGATGGTAGCTTGCCCAGTTTCGCGCAGGAAGTTAGAATCGGAGGCTATTGCTTCTGTCTCGGGGCCCAAAGTCCAGATCATTTTTCTTTTCTAGCCAAATACTTTCTTCACTCCTCAAAAACACATTTAAGTTCATAGAACGATCGTTTCTCCCACGTAGGGGTTTCGGGAGGATTCCTCCTTCCATTCCAGCATAGTTATGAGCCCGGTGTGCATTGGGCCCTGGCTGGGAAAGTTTGGCGAACACCGGAAGTGCTGCACACATGTAAGGCTCCCTCATTCCAGAGAGTTAGGGTCTGGATTGTTGTGGCAGGTGGGAAAATTACTTTCTTCTGGGAACGTTGTAAGTTACCCGTCGAACACCTTTAATTTCAGCTCTCATGGGGCAGAGGCAGGTGGATCTCAGTTCAAGGCCAGCTTAGTCTCCATAGTGAGTTCCAGGACAGCCAGAGCTCTGTAGAGGGACCCTGTCACAAAAAACAAACAAAAACCCAAGCTAACAAAAACAAAATCAAAACAAAAAACCTCAAAGGGGTGGAGGGATGGTTCTGTGGTTAAGAGCACTGGCTACTTTTCCAGAGAACCCGATTTCAATTCTCAGCACCTGCATGTTGGCTCACAACTACCTATAACTCCAGTGTCAGGGGATCTGACAACAGTTAGATTCTGAAGGCATCAGGTATACAGTGGTGTGCAGACAAGCATTCAAGCAAATACCATACATATAAGTAAAAAAATTAATTAATTAAAACAACAACAATGAAGAAAGCCTTTCAGGTAATGTCAGGATGCAGATATGGCTGAGTCCTTGTCTTTAACCACTCTAGGCCATACCTTCTGGAAGAGTTCCATTGCAGGGGCTTTGCAGGAGCACTTCTCAGAATAACCTTATATAGTAGGTATTCTCATGATGAGGAAGCTGATACTCGGTGGGGTTATGTACTTTTTACTAAGTGCTATGGTGATGGGATGGCACATCCAGGTCTCAGGCAGCCTACTTCTTCAGCCCTGGTGAGCCATAGCTGAGCTTTCCCAGGAGGGGCTGTTAAGAGGTAGGAGGAGTCTGATCCTATCTCTACCATGAAGTCCTTGGAAGTCACTCAATCTGGCATTAAGAACCCCTGACCCACACAGTGCTTCTGTGTTTTCTCTTTTGTTTAGAGTGTTACACTTAGTACTTGTCAGTCCCCCATGGCCACGTGGAGTCGAGAGGCGGTTCTGAGTCTATACCGGGCTCTGCTGCGCCAAGGCCGAGAGCTTCGCTACACTGATCGAGACTTCTACTTTGCTTCCATCCGCCGAGAATTCAGGAAAAATCAGAAACTTGAGGATTTACAGGCTCGGGAGAAGCAACTGGAGAAGGGCCTGGCCTTCCTCCATAGCAAACTTGGAGGACTTATTTAGGATCCTCCTTTTTTCTTTCTACACTAATTCCAAGAAGAGGACAAAGGTGCCTTCAGTAGACAGTTGTGGCTCCCCTACCCCACCTCACAGATGCATTAGGAAGCCTCAGGTAGGTAGACCCTTCTTCCTGGGGGTTTCTCTTTTTTTCTGATGCAAGAAGCTAGGAAAGGGCCGACCTTTATCATCAAAGTGTGTCTTTACTCTCTAAAACTCACTAGATAAAATAGACATGTCAATAGAAGTGGGTCCTATTATTGAGAAACATGGGCCTTGGGTTACAAGCTACACACCAAAACAGAACTGGCTTCATTTTATTTCATGAACTTTTTTTGTATATGAGAATATTAGACAAGATAGTGGTTGAAGTCATTAGCGTTCAGTTCCAAGCCATCTTGTCTACTCATTTTATATTGTATTGTATTGTATTCTTGAAACAGACATTTATCATTACTGCATAACTGGTGTAGCAATCATGATATGCAGTGTCTGCTTTCAAATCCTGATACGCTAACTAGTATCTGTGGGATACAAGACAAGTATCTGAGCCTTCCCAGGCCTTCATTTCATCATTTGAAATGGAAGTAATAGTACTTAATCTCTTTAGGTTTGGTGAGAATTGACCTAGACAGTGTACACACAGCATTGAAAAATGGTACTTGGCTGATGGAATGTTAGCCCTTTATTTTCTTAAATTTAAAGTTAGATTTGTTTATTATGAATGAGTATGGGAACATGTGCCATAGTATGTGTGTGGAGGTCATGTGCCATAGTATGTGTGTGGAGGTCATGAGACTTAGGAGAGTTGGTTCTCTCTATTTTGGGGGTCTTTCTTGGGTATTAAATGCTGGTCTTCAGGCTTGTCAGCAAATGTGTTTATCCATTGAGTCATCTCACTTGCCCTATTTATTCTTGGAGACATTGACATTAGGAAGTCCCACTGCAGCATAATAGCCATGTTTAATTCAGGAACCTTTTAGAGTTCCCTTTATATACCTAGGCTCTGGGGATAGAGAAGAAAGATAGGGTCCATTAAGACTAGGGCTGGAGACATGGTTCAGTGGTTATGAGCACTTGTTGTTTTTGCAGAAGATCTAGATTTGATTCCCAGCACCCAGAAGATGGCTAATAACCATCCATAACTCTAGTTCCAAAGGATCCAATGACCTCTTCTGACCTCCATAGGCACCAGGCATATACATGGGCCAGAGACATTATATTGCAAAGCAAATACACATACATAAAATAAATCTTAACAATAACAACAAACCAATATAAGGAGGAATTCAGTGGGAAATCCGTACTAGGTACTGTATAAAAAGCTTTGGAAGCCAGGTAGTAGTGAGTGGTATACACCTTTAGACTCAGCACTGGGGAGGCAGAGTCATTTGGGTCTCTGAGTTCAAGGTCAGCCAGAGCTGTTGTTACACAGAGAAACCCTGTTTCAAGAAACAAAACAAAACAAAACAAAAAACTAGGAGACAGGAATGAAAATTGTGTTGGTTACAGAAGAGACTTTTGAGGTCTGCCCCAAATGGGAAGCAGACACTTGGTGCAGTGGGAAGAGAATAAACAAGTGCCTGAACGTGGGAACTGTACTTTGTAGCTGGGAAACAAGTCTGTTAGAATGGTATAGGGAGTGTGATTGGAGTTGAAGTTGGGCCAGGGATGGAAGGACAGTAATTTTCCTGTTATGGAGCCAGTAGCTGACTGGGGTACTGTCCCAGCTTTCTAAGAAGGGAATGGTGGGAACATTTGTGTCTTGGAATGTGCCAGGGTAGTGAGGAAAATAATTGAGTGAGAGACATTAGAGGCAATGAATTTGGTCAGACTTGCAAACCTGGTACTCAGGAAGTTGAAGCCAGAGGACCACAAGTTCATAGTTAGCCAGGTCAGCTTGGGCTAGACAACAGATTATGTCTGGAAAAGCCTGGGACAGGTAGTAAATTTTTCAGCATGGGCTAAAAAACTGCCTTTGTCTGGAAGAAATGTCCAAACAAAACTCTCAAATGCCCTAGGGTTAGTTCATCGATTACAGTAGACACTTACTGTGTCAGACATTACATTCTTGTAGCAGTGAATGTGTCATGTGCTCCCATGAAGCTATAGTGGTTACAAGTCTAGTGCTTAGAGATGAGCTGTGAGGCAATGGCACAGGCTGTCTAGTGCTTAGAGATGAGCTGTGAGGCAATGGCACAGGCTGTCTAGTGCTTAGAGATGAGCTGTGAGGCAATGGCACAGGCTGCTTGGGATTCATGGATTGGTTCTCCTAGCAGCGTAAGCTCTGGATTCAAACTCTGGCTGCAAACTTTGCTAATGAGTAAGTAACTCTGGGCTAGTTACTGAACATGTACTTCAGTTTCTTCATCTTTAGAGATAAGAGCTAGGTATGAGCACACATGCCTGTGATCACAGCACTTAAAGAAGGCAGGAGGATTAGGAGTTCAAGGCCATTGTTGGCTGCATAGGGAGTTTGAGGCCAGTTTGGGTGACATGGCTCTAGGGAGGAACTCATGGTTGATACCCTGTAAGAAATAGTTTAAAACTTGCTTGAAGTGTTCACAGAATGTTATTCTTCCCAGCCTTCTGCCAGGTCTGTGTTTTCTTTCTTTTCTTTCTTTTTTTAAGCCATCTTAGGGGCTGGAGACATGGCTTAGCAGTTAAGAGTATTGGGTGCTCCTCCAAAGGACCTGAGTTCAATTCTCATTACCCACATGGCAGTTCACAACTGTCTTTAACTTCCCTTCCAGGTGAACTCATACAGACGTACATGTTATGTGTACTTTCCTGCCAGCCTGGTCCCAGAACCAAGTCCCAAAATAACACACAGAGACTATTAGTTATAAAGCTGTTGGCTGGTTACTAGCTTTTCTTATTGGCTAGCTCTGTCTTATATATTAACCCATAATCACTAATATATGTATTTCTACATGGTCTTATTTTACTGAGAACGCTAGTCTCAAGTCCTCTTCCTGAGATCACATCAAGACCCCACAATGTTACCCAGAATCCTCCACCTCTCCTAGTCCCACCTATCTTACTTTCCTATAGGCCAACATTGTTTTATTCATTAACCAATAACAGAAACATATTTACACAATGACATCTCCCTTCACATACTTGCAGGCAAATCCCCAATGCACATTAAATAAATAAGTCTTTAAAAACAAAACAAAAAAAATCCCAGACATCTTAGGTGGTTTAAGTGCGCAGATCAGTTGTATTATACAGGAGGTTTCCAGAACTTTATCTGGCTAATCTGAAACTGGACTGTTAGACATAGTGATCTTCCTTGATGTCTTGCTCATATCTTCTGGAGGTAGAAGGCAGCAGAGTTGGTAGATGCTGGAGGGAGAGTAACCTGAATAAGGGAGGTTTGGAATAAGGACCTGTCTCTCTGTTGGAGCTTGTGAATGTTCTCTTCCAGGTCATCAAAAGTCTATGATACCACAAAGTCCTAGGGTAGGGATGAAGAGTATTGAACTAGATTATCAGGGAAGCCTTCAGCAAGCCTGCTCTGCTTACCAATTCTGATCTCAGGCACAGGAGAGTTTCAGTGTGTTTTTGAGGCTGTTTGAGCTTTGTCTTAAGACATGCAGTGTAATTGGACAGTCTATTGCGGTCCTTCTGTCTGGTGGATGGAAATCTTGACATAATGACAGTGAGGTTTGTAGTGGATGAAGTACTTGCATTCAGTGTTACAACCAATGTTCTTCCTCACTACATACAGCCCTGTGATTTGGGCCATGAAGTGATCGTTATCCTCCGTTTATAGCTGAGCAGTTAGCTCAGGTCCAACGCAGGTACTCAGCCCTCAGAATTTCTGACCCTAAACCCATGTTGTACTGTTACTCTGTTCCCACCTTGATCCTTCAGTCATCAGCAGGGCCAAGGACTGACAGGCTTCAACTTGGAAGGAAGAGTTACCCTCTGGTCCTGCTGTTCATTTAAAGAATGGTTAGAGGGTTCTGCATCTAGTGCTTCTCCCTGTCATAAATCTAGTTGTCTGTCTGTCTGTCTGTACTATCTGTCATCTGTCTATCCTATCTATCTGTCTGTCTATCTGTCATCCATCTATCCATCTGTTTTTCCTTTTCTTTTTTTTTGAGACAGGGTTTCCCTGTATTGTTTTGGAGCCCATCGGTCATGGAACTCTCTGTAGACCAGGCTGGCCTTGAATCGCAGAGATCCGCCTGCCTCTGCCTCCCGAGTGCTGGGTTTAAAGGCGTGTGCCACCGGCCGGTTCCATCTGTTTTTTCTTTTTTGAGACAGGGTTTTTCTGTGTAGACCAGACTGGCCTCCAACTCAGAGATCTCTTCCCCTAAGAACTGGGATTAAAGGTGTGCGCCACCACTGGGCCTTATAAATCTCTTGTAAAGGTTTTTCTTAGAACAGAGGTCATTGTAAGTTTGTGGAAATGTGAGTGTCCTGTCTTTCCTGATCAGAATCCTCTGCCTCCACTGGGTTTCTGATACCCGTCTCTTTTACAGAGACAGCTGGAAGAGTGGTGAAGAGCTGTCTTACTTGATCCCGCATGGACATACTTGACTTGTTTAACCCTTGTTTGGCTTGCTTGCTCTGTGCATTGGAAGTAGGAATATATTTCAATTGACCAGATAATTTCTCATTATATCCCTGAACCTGCAGCTTTAATAGAAAGAAAAAGAAAAAGCCACAGTGTGAGTACAGTGAGGGAAAGAGTAGTTTTGTATCTGATAGTGAGACTTTTTTTTTTCAATGTGTCTTCTGTTGTGCTGGGGTTATAAACTTGTGTCACCATGCCTGCCTGTTTCTTAATCCTAACATTCCAAAGCAGTGGCTAGAGGGAAGACCCTATCTTCCTATCAACACCACATTGTAAAGGAGTAGGGAGGCTTATATTGTATGGTGGGATACTTTAGTACAAAAATAGGGTTGGTAGTGAACTTAATGTTTGTTATAGACTCAGGTCTGCTGAAAGATTTTTCTACAGCATACACTAGCATTTTTTTCCCTATGTATCCAGGTGAGTCATGGGACATGGTACCTCCCCTTTGGACTCTAGAGTATGCAGTCCTAGACTTTGCATGCAATAACCTTGATTGTGGTGCAGAGGTATAGAAAGGAATGGTCCTAGTTGGTGATGGCTGTGTTGTCTTCATTCTCAGGTGAGCAATGGCAGGTGCTGGTGAGCGCAAAGGCAAGAAGGATGACAATGGCATTGGCACTGCCATTGATTTTGTACTCTCCAATGCCCGGCTGGTGCTGGGTGTGGGTGGAGCAGCCATGTTGGGCATTGCCACCCTGGCGGTTAAGCGGGTAAGTTTATGCAGCCTGGTCACAGGATGGCAGGTGGTGAGTTGTCTCTACAAAGTGGGGCTCTTGTGAGGGAGACTCTGATACTTTAATAGGAGGATAACTTGCTCATCTGGCAGTCTGCTTCTAGGCTTCAGCCATAAAGAGTTCACTGGAGATGGAAAGAAATGTATACCAGCAAGTAAAACACAGCAACTAACCCAACTACCCTTCCTTCCCCGATGACCTGATTTAAAATACTAACCACACATATACTTTGTTTTCTTTTCTTACTCTTAAAACATTTATCTCTGTCTGCATACTTTGTGTTGAACTTCACCATCTGGGTAGACTGGACACACCTAGAAACTTAGAACAGTGCTTAGTGTGTTCTCTTACATACACACAGCCCTTTTAGTTTGTGAGTCCATATCAAGCTTCAGCCAACCAGATTGAAAATACTATTTTAAAAATTGCATTTGCAGGCTGCAGAGATGGCTCAGAAAAGCAGTCAGTGCTCCTCACCTCTGAGCCATCTCTCCAGCCCATTAATAAATCTTGAAACAAAATAAAACAAAATAAAAACAAAAAATACAAACCAAACCCCCCCCCCCCCGATGGTATATGTTTTTAAAAAATTGCATTTGCATGTCTATGTGTGGTGGTGCACATCTTTAATCCCAGTGCTCAGGAGGCAGAGTAAGGCTGGTCTCTGAGTTCCAGGACAGCCAGGGCTACACAGAGAAACTCTTCCTTGAAAAACAAACAAAAAAATTGTATTTACATTGAATAGGTGCAGAATTTTTTTAGGTCATTCTTTAAGCAATTAGGATAATTATATACTATTTACATTGTATTAGATAATATAAATAACAAAATGTAAAGTACATATAAAGCTGTGCATAGGTTATATGCAAGTACAATGACTTTTTAAAAAATATTTTATTGGTTTGTAATACTTGTATGCAGGTGTATAGTGGAGATCACAGGGCAACTTTGTGGAGTGGGTTTTTACCGTCTACCTTGCATTATTGGGGAGCAAGTGCCTTTACCCACTGGGTCCGTCTGTTTATGTGTCCCCTGCCCCCAATCCCTATTGTTTGTTTTGAGATAAGGTCTCATACTATAGATAGCCTGCCTATCTGGGAACTCACTATGGAGTCTTGAACTTCAAAGCTTCCTGCTTTTGCCTCCCAACCACTGAGAGTTTAGGCATGGATCACTATACTTAGCTACAGTTCCATATCATGTAGGGACCTGAGACATCTAAGGATTTTGGTATGCTTGGAGTGTCCTGGGACTAAACCTCTGGTGATACTGAGGAACAGCTGGTAACTACTTGTGGACTGAATAAACCAGTGTTAGGTAAGCACTCTGCTGCTGAACGACATTCCCAGCCCTTTCACGTGGACTATGCTTAAGGAAAATGTTGTATAGTCAGAAAATACTAAAACATCTTTGGTGATTGGAAGAAATGATTAAAAAGGGAAAACATGGTTTCAAGAGTCTGTAGAGTCTAGCCTCTCTAGGTAAAGGTGCTTGCTCTAAGCCAGAAAACCAGAGTTTGATCTTGGGGACCCACATGGTAGAAGGAAAGAATTGACTCCTGAAAATAATCCTGTACAATGTACACATGCTGTACAATATAAATATGTCAGATCTAGGAAAGGATTGTCTAATCTTGATGGTGTAAATATCTCCAGAAAGAAATACAATACATACTAACAGTTTTTTGTGGGTTTTAACATTGTGGATCTTGTAGCATTTAATATTTCCTGAGCTTTTCTGCATGGATCAGAATATTCCATAGTTTAGATTAAAACAAAATTATTTTTAAAAACGCTTTGGCTGAGGAGAAAGTGGGATGCCTGTCTTTGGATTGTACCATTCGTGGTATTGAATGGCCAGGATTGAATAACAAATGGTGGTTTGACCCTGAACAAGGAAATCCTATTTTAGGGAAAAAAAAGGTGGTCTGTTTATTATTTATTTATTTGTTTTGTTTTTGAGATGGTTTCTCTGTGTAGGGTAGCCTTGGCTGTCCTCTATTCACTCTGTAGAACAGGCTGGCTTTGAACTCAGAGATCTGCCTGCCTCTGCCTCCCAACTGCTGGAATTAAAGGTGAGCACCACCACCACCTGGCATGTATACCATAATTTAATACATACACCAGAATTCAGATCATAATGGCTAACAGTAATTTTGTTAGACAATCCTGATTTAAGTAAAATTGAATTGTAGTGAAGTGGGGAAAAATTGTCTGGGGATATAATTCACTGGTAGAGTGTTTATCCAGCATGCACAAGGACCTGGGTTCCATCCTTAGTACCACCATCAGCTAAAACAACAAAAAACTTGTTGAACTTAATAGGGCAGAGAGTTTGGGGGGGTGAGGAGTGTCAGGAAAGAGACAGAAGGAGGAGGGCTAGTATATGTCTTGGGTCCTTTCTGGTATTGCAGATGTATGATCGGGCAATCAGTGCCCCTACCAGCCCCACCCGCCTGAGCCATTCTGGGAAGAGGAGCTGGGAAGAGCCAAACTGGATGGGCTCCCCTCGACTGTTGAACAAGGACATGAAGACAGGCCTGAGCCGGTCTTTGCAGACTCTTCCCACAGACTCATCTGCCTTTGACACAGGTGAGAAACTCCTTGGACTTTCTGGGTTGTTTCTGGACTTAGAGTTACTGTGGGGAGGGAGACACTTCTCGGCACGGAATGTCATTCAACTTGCCCTTTGTGCCAAGTCCTTTTCCTTCCTGGGACTAGGACTTCTGTGGACTAAGCAAGCTTGGGCAGAGCTCACATGCCTCTCTCTCTTGCCTTGGCAGATACATTCTGCCAACCCCGGCCCAAACCATTGGCCAGGAGGGGCCAGGTAGACTTGAAGAAATCACGACTCCGCATGTCCCTGCAGGAGAAACTTCTTTCTTACTACCGGAACCGGGCAGCCATCCCTGCTGGAGAGCAGGCTCGGGCCAAGCAAGCTGCAGTGGACATATGTGCAGAACTCCGGAGCTTCCTGCGGGCCAAGCTGCCTGATATGCCACTTCGGGACATGTACTTGAGTGGCAGCCTCTATGATGATCTGCAGGTAACACAGTCCTTATGAAGGGTGGGGCTGGGCACAGAAGACACTTCTCAGTATTATGGTTGTTCAAGAAAGTCATTGTGGTGGGGCTGGACAGATGGCTCAGTGGTTAAGAGCACAGACTGCTCTTCCACAGATCCTGTGTTCAATTCCCTGCAACCACATGATGGCTCACAACCATCTGTAATGAGATCTGGTACCCTGCAGGCATACATGCAGGCAGAACACTGCATATATAATAAATAAATCTTTATAACAAAAAGAAAAGAAAGTCTTTGTGTCTGAGGCTCAACTGGAAAGTCCCTTGCTTGTAAATGCTGTTCCACAGCAATATCTATTTCTTTGCTCCATCCTTTCTCACTTTTTTAGGTTATACTTAATACTTTTTATGAAGCTGTAGGGGTTGGGAATGTGACTCAGTTGATATAGCCTAGTTGTATTATGCCCTGGGTTCATTGCATAAAATAGGCATAGGGACACAGACCTGTCATTTCAGCACTTAAGAGGCATAAAGATCAGAAGGTTAGTAGTTTGAGGCCAGCCTGGGTTATATGATACCCCACCTCAAAATAATAAGTAAGTAAATAAAAGCCCAAGGCATGGTAGCTGAGAAGAAACCTTATCTTTTATTGTATTCTTGTCCCATGTGCTAATTGAATCATTGGTTTCTATTACTGTTGGCAAGTGCAAGATGTTAGGACCTATGTTGTAGGTAGCATATATTTAAAACCTTTTTAAATTGTTGGGTCACTGAGATGACTCAGCAGATAAAGATGCTTGCCACCAAACCTGACGACCTGAGTTCAGTCCCTGAATCCTACATGGTGGAAGGAGAGAACTGACTCCTATGAGTTATCTCTGACCTCCTCATGCCATGATACATCATGTGTGCACTTGTACATACAAACAACTGTAATAAAAAATTGAAAACAAAACCAACCCTTTTTAATTCTGTTCTGGCAGGTGGTGACAGCTGACCACATCCAACTCATTGTCCCCCTTGTGCTGGAGCAGAACCTGTGGTCGTGCATACCTGGCGAGGACACCATCATGAATGTCCCTGGATTCTTTCTGGTCCGTCGTGAGAACCCAGAGTACTTTCCTCGTGGTAGCAGTTATTGGGACCGCTGTGTTGTAGGTGGCTACCTCTCCCCAAAGACAGTGGCAGACACATTTGAGAAGGTAGTGGCAGGCTCTATCAACTGGCCAGCCATAGGGTCCCTCTTGGACTATGTGATCAGACCAGCACCACCCCCAGAGGCCCTGACACTAGAAGTGCAGTATGAGAGGGACAAACATCTTGTCATTGACTTCCTGCCATCAGTGACTCTTGGTGACACTGTCTTGGTGGCCAGACCACACCGATTAGCTCAGTATGACAACATGTGGCGGCTGAGCTTGCGTCCTGCTGAGACGGCACGCTTACGGGCTTTGGACCAGGCTGACTCGGGGTGCCGATCTCTGTGCCTCAAAATCCTCAAGGCCATATGCAAGTCCACTCCAGCTCTGGGCCACCTCACTGCCAGTCAGCTAACCAATGTCATACTCCACTTGGCCCAGGAGGAGGCTGACTGGTCTCCAGACATGCTGGCTGACCGCTTCCTGCAAGCCCTGAGGGGACTCATCAGCTACTTGGAGGCTGGAGTCTTGCCCAGTGCCCTAAACCCCAAGGTGAACCTATTTGCAGAGCTCACTCCTCAAGAAATAGACGAATTGGGATATACTCTCTACTCCTCGTTGTCTGAGCCGGAGGTGCTGCTGCAGACGTAGGGCAGGTGAAGGCCGGAGTGGGCGTCGGGTGATCAGACCCAGAGTCTCCGTTAGAAACACTTGGCTACATGGTTAGTCCCTCACAGGGTCCCTAGGTGCCTCCTGTTTGCTGGTCATTGTTCACTTCGTGCTGATTAGAATGACATCCCTTTGGTTTTCCTACCCATCCCTATTTTTGTTACCAAATACTGTGCTCCCTATTGCTGCCTTGCTCTAAGCTGGTTTTTCTGGAACGAACAGAGAGAAGGTGGAGTGTTGGCCTCAAACTGTTGGGTGTTATGTTTTTTTGCCCAAAATTTCTTGCTCTTCTGTCTGCTCTGCACTGTTCTGCCCTTTGGCCTCTTATTCTCTATCTTCTCTGTCTTTCCCTTTCTTGGTCACACCTGGAGCCCCTGGAGCACATTTGCCTAATGAAGATGTCGCCTGTGGTCTGTCACAGAAGAACTGATTACATGTTTTCAAGCAGCGTTCTGCCGAGTGATGAGACAGTATTTAGATTCCTGGGGGGAGGTTGGCAAAGAGTCTCTGCCTTGGCAAATCAGCCTTTGACTCTGGTTCCTGGAAAGCAAGCTCCCTTTCCCTCCCCTCTCCTCCTCCTTGCAATTCCTGTGCTAAGACTTTTTCACCTGGGGCTGGTGCACTGACCCATATAAGAGTAGCTGGTGCAGTTATTTTATTGCACATTGCGCTTCTTTATGGCTGTCAGTGAGAGCACAGGGGGAGGGGGTTCTGTGTTCCCACTGTCTATTTCTGTCTGTCGTTACTAAAGTCACTGACAGGGAAGGCTTGAGGGCTTCACAGGTAGCACCTCCAAGGATGCTGCTTTCCTTTATTGCCAACAGAAGAAGGCCTTGCTTTAGCAGTAGAGGTCAAGGGAAGATACTAGGTGGCTAAGTGCCAGTAAAACCCGGTGACCATGTTTTCTTCTTGACAGGCTCTACCTTTCTTAAATGTTGCCTTAGAGCAAGAATACACCCAGGGCCAATACCTCCTACCTAACCCTGTCTTCAATGACCTGAGAGTGTTTGCTGAGCAGTATAGGTACCTTCACAGGCCAGAGGGGACGTGAACATGTCAACCCTTGTCTCTTGCCTGTCTCCTGGGGAGATTGGTGCTACTTAAGAAGAGAATACATAGATAAGACACACAGGAAAGAGTTGGGGCTTCCCACATTGCTGCTAAGACTGATATTTATGGCTATGTAATTGTATCCTCTGCGTTGGGGAAGGGAGGTGTTTAGTATGTCATGTCAGTGTGTCTTTTTCTTCTGTTCATGACAAGAGTCAGCCTGGTTCAAAACCTGTAACTCTGGTTCTGATTTGTTCATCTAGCATTTTGTTCTTCCATCAAGTCTTTCTGTTTTCTCTACTCTTGCTACCTCTCCATCAGTGTGATTCTGGTGACACATTCTGCAGCTGTGTTGGCCCTTCTTAATGAGGGTGACATGAAGTGATTATAAATAGCACTGACCCTGAAGCAACCCACTTGAAATTAGGGTAGCAATAGATACCTGCCTTTTTTTTTTTTTTAACCCCTCCTCCTCCCATAGGTTAAGTGGTTGAACCAGGCTATTTTTCTGCCTTTTTGCTCTTCTCTCATATATATGTAAAGACTCCTTCAGGAATTTCTTTTTGATTTGTGTAAGATAGTATGAGAAACTTGAAAGAGATAAAGCCAAGAACCTTAACTGAAACATGACCTCCTGGCTGTTTATAATGATGAGATGGGAGGTGAAGACATGTGTTGTCTAGGTTGGACTGAGTAGATATAGAAGGGATGTCTTGAGGGGTTCAAGGTTCTAGCTGGTGTCTGTTGGGGGAGGTGGTTGGTAGCCTGCTGCAAAACCAGATTTTGTTTAGATAGATTTGGATTTCCTGTCATAAGTATTATAAGACTTTTCCAAACTCATCTCTGAACTGATTCCATTTAAGATACTGGAGAGAGTGCAAAATGAAACACTAAAACTTGAAGATGCTCCAGTTTTTAAATGTCCCAAGTAATCACAGCCATATATCATTATGAATTTAGGAAAAAGAATGAATTTATCTCCTGTCTTTAGGAGCAGCTTTGACTATGGACTGTGCTTTGCAAAAATCAAAATCTTCACTTGACCATCTTACAAGCAGGAGCCTCTCAGAAGTCCTTAGAACAAGGAGAAGTGGGAACAGTTCTGTCCTGTGGGTTTGTTGATTAGCTGGGTAGGCCTTCCTCTTTGCTGAGAGGTGGCCAAATGCTCTGGGATGCTTGGATGGAAGAAAATAATCTGTCCCTCCTCTCTAACACTTGTTGAAAAAGCCAGTGGCTGTGCCACTGCTCTGCTTTTCTCTTGAGTAGCTCCCAAACTACATACTCAACTTCATACCTAAAACTGTACTCATTACCCTAATACCAAGCAAGTCCCAGGTTTATTTTGGTTCTTTGTTGCCCTTTCTCAAAAACAGAATTCAGGATAGCAGTATTTTTCTTCATATTAACAATTGAGACTTTTTTTAAAAAATAAAGATGGAAAAACTGTTGGAGACCCATTATCTCCTCCAGTGTGGCCCTGGATGATTTTAGTCCACTGCAATCCTCCAAAGAGCTCAGGTGGTTAAGGTGAAACAGCTTCAGGAACAAGGGCCCTGAGAGCAGGGGTGCTCCATGTGTTCAGAGCCTTCTGCCAAGGTATACTTCCTTAGGATTACAACTTGATAGGACTGAGAGGATCTGCTATAATTCTAGCTTGTTTTACTTAAAGCTCAAGGTTAAGGTAAATGATGAAGCAATGGGGACTAGAGTTGACCCTTTCACCAGGCTGGGAGGTTGTAAGCCTCTTAGACTTACAAATGGCCAAAATACCAGGATTGTAGGTTCAGTATTTTACTACAGACTTGGGGGTGAGATGGGTGTTAAGTTTTACTTTGATCATCTTCTAGTCTTTAAACTCTTGGTCTCTGAGGCCAAGTCCACAACTTGCCTTCTTCCCTGCCCTTCCAGGGTGGCCAGTGTGTTAAGCTGGTAGAATGGAATCAGTCACCAACCTTTGTGTCTTGTCTTGGCTGGGTCCATATAGGATCAGCTTAGCTTTGAGGCCCAGAGAACTTTATTCCTTTTTCTCCTTGAAGGAGGAAACTCAACTGGGAAAAACAGCATCTTCTGCAGCATGGGAAGAAGAAAATAAAAATCTCCTTTCCAACAACTGATGTGTGTATGTGGTATGAAGTATTTTCTTTACATGGGTGAAGGTCTGTTTTCAGTTTAAAGCATTTGCATTACATCTCTGTAGTAGAATGGGGGAAAAGAAGCCACCAGACATTTTCCTGTGACCTCTATAGTGTCAAATCAGGGTTAGTGTTTCTTAACCTTTTGCATGACTTTGTCAGGAGCCTTCCTAGAGCAAAGGAAGACATAGTTAACCCTTTTGGTGCCTTTTTATGTAAGGAAAACACAATTTTTGCATGTCTACATATGCACTGGAGATTTCTTTGGGGATAAGAAACACCCCATTATGTAGGGCTTGTGCATTCTCGTTATATTTTTTATTTTGTTTATTGAGACAGTGTTTTACTTTATAGCCTTGGCTGTCCTGAAACTCCCTCTGCCTCTGCTCCCTGAGTGCTGGGATTAAAGATGGGGCACCACCACCATCTGGCTTTTTAATGAGTTAAAATTCTTTTTTCTTCTAATTTTTAAAAGAATTTTATTTTGTGTGTATGGGTGCCTTGCCTGAATGTATGCAAGTGTAGCACATGCATGTGCCTAGTGACTAGAGAGGTCAGAAAAGGGCTTCAGATTCCCTGAAAATGGAGTTGGGGATGTTTGTGAGCCACCATGTGGTGTTGGGTCTGAACCTGGGTCCTCTGGAAGAGCAGCTAGCTGCTCTTAGCTGGAGCCACCTCTCCAGCTCTGAATTCTGGTTGTTTATGGTTGGCTTTGTCTCAGTCAATAGTAAAACATCCTCTGAGGAAGCAGGATGAATCATGGAGTAGGGACTTGGGAATTAGGTCAGGGTCAGAGTTCTGAGTTTTAATAATAATAGCAATCAAAATGACTTACCCCTCTCCCCCCCTCAAGTATCTCAGGTTGGCCTCAACCATGATGTAGTCAAGGATGACCTTGAATTATCGTACCCTGGAGGCCTTTTGAGTGCTAAGATTGTGTGCTTGCAAGTAATTATCGAGCAGTTAAGTGGTAGGCCCTGTGCCAGTTGCTTTACTTCTTTCTTAGTACTAGAGACAACTTCAAACTGGCTCAGTGGATGTCACTTTAGCTAAATGCCCCCAAATGACTGAGCTAGCCCTAGTAGAAGAGCTAATCGTATGAGTCACTTCAACAGAAGTGGAACTCAAGGGGCTGGAGTGTGGAAGAGGGACTCTCAGCACTCACAAAACAGCACCTTTATGGAGGGTTGGCTTCATAACTTATCACGTGTCAGGCGGCTGCTCACACATCTGGATGACTTCTTGGAAAGGTTATGCCTGAAAATTAGACTTAGGAGTTATTCAGAACTACCCTGGGGCTTGCGAGTCAGTTGAACAAAACATGATCTTAAGGCAACTGGCTATATAAACCAGCACCACGCACCCCTATGATGTCAGAACGGAAATGTTTAGCCTAGAACTGAGGTTAGGCATTTTTTCCCAGTACAGAGTTCAGAGGAAAGATGTAGGGCTAGAGGAACCGGAATATCCTCCCAATGAGGGTCCAACTTGTGCCCCTGATCTGTCCCTCCCTCAAAGGGCGGTCCCTGGATTTATCAGGAGGCTGAAGGCTCGGACCAGGTAATTCCGAAGGGCCTCTACAGGTTGGAAACCTGCCCTTTCGGTCCTGAGAACACTACAGGGAAGGAGGGCTTCCAGAGCAAGGGTCAAGTCTGGGGAACTGTTTGCTGCGTGCAGGAGTGATGCATAAGACAGACAAACACGATAGCAGGGTCGCCCCTGGCAAGAACCGGAAGGTTGACAGCTCGGCCGCAAGAACCTGTGGTGACTCCACCCTTCCCGCACAGACAGACCCTAGAGCGCCTATAGACTCACGTTCGGAGCCAATAGGGACTTGAGGTTTACATGACTCGCCACGCTTGGGCCAATCAGCTCGACGCGGGCTCCATCGGCGTCTCGCGTGATAATCAGGCAGTTTAGGCTTTGACCACAATAGTTTTGGCGAAATGCTTCTCCCCGCCCAGTGAGCTAACACCGGAAGTTCGGCGTGGAGAGATCCCTCCGCGGCGACACGTGACTTTGGTTAACCGTAAACCTGTAAAGCAGTGTACATTTCTCCTTTCCTGGGGCCTTCAAAATAATCTCTTAACTTCACAGCTACTCTCCGAGTAGTGGAGAAAGGTTGGGGAGGGCCAGGACGTCGATGGGACGCAGATGGGTGGGACCGCGGCAGGGTCACGTGATCACGGCGGGAGGATGCGCGGGGTGCTGCGTCTCTAGCACAGCATATAAGAGGCGTGTGCAGGGCGTGCCGCCGCCATTTCTGCTTGCTTTCCAATAGATAAGGACCTGTATGCTGTTGCCTCTGTCTTCCCCTCCCGCAGGGTTTGCGGCCACCATGGCGTATTAAAGGCAGTAGTGCCTGCGGCAGCGTTGGCCTTTGCAGCGGCGGCAGCAGCACCAGGCTCTGCAGCGGCAGCCCCCACCGGCTTAAGCCATGGCGTGAGTACTGGGCCTGTTGCGCAGGGCGTGTGCTTTGCTGGGGCTGGGTGCGGCCGTGCCGCGTTGACCATACGCGGCTTTACGAGCGACCGGACGCGTCGGCCTTGTTTGCGTGGCCCCGACGCCGGCCCTCGCAGGCGAGGGCTAGGGTGGAGTGGAGAAGCACTGCCTTCAACGCTACTGCTTCCCTTTGGTAGTCTGGTAGCTCAACAACTGCGAGCTCGCCAGCGTTCCGGTGACAAAACTGCGAACGTGGCGCGGCCAAGATGGCGGCGGGGCGGGCGTGTGAGTCACAGGGGCGGGGTACGACGGTCATGGCCGTATTAGGAGGCGACGCCAAGCTGCTTCCTCTGGGTGGCCGGTGAAGCAAGGCTGAGCCTCCATCTTGTGCAACCTGAGCCGGTGGCTGGGGAGGCTTACACAATGGCCTTGGGTCCACGTGCTCCTCATTCACAGGCTTCTGGGATTTGGCCATCCTACATTTTAGATAGGAAGATGATGAGACTTGCATTTGGATTCTTATGCAGGCTCTTCACGGAATCCAGCAGCAGCGTTGCTGTAACGGACAAAGACACCTTCGATTTAAGCACATTACTCGATTCCAGCAAAACCTTACAACATGACCGAGATGAGCTTCCTGAACAGCGAAGTGTTGGCGGGGGACTTGATGTCCCCCTTCGACCAGTCGGGTTTGGGGGCTGAAGAAAGCCTAGGTCTCTTAGATGACTACCTGGAGGTGGCCAAGCACTTCAAACCTCATGGGTTCTCCAGCGACAAGGCTAAGGCAGGCTCCTCCGAATGGCTGGCTGTGGATGGGTTGGTCAGTGCCTCAGACACCGGCAAGGGTGAGTAGGCCACTTGTTCCAGGATGCTCTTTTAATGTGGGTCTGGTGTTAAGAGCCATTCACTCTTGATTTCATTTTTTTTTTTTTTTTTTTTTTTTTGCAGAGGATGCATTCTCCGGGACAGATTGGATGTTGGAGAAAATGGATCTTAAAGAGTTTGACTTTGATGCTCTGTTTCGAATGGATGACCTGGATACCATGCCAGATGAGCTTTTGGCCACGTTGGATGACACATGTGATCTTTTTGCCCCTCTAGTCCAAGAGACTAACAAGGAGCCCATGACAGTGAACCCAATTGGCCATCTCCCAGAAAGTACAACAAAAATCGACCAGGTTGCCCCTTTTGCATTCTTGCAACCTTTTCCCTGTTCCCCAGGGGTCCTGTCTTCCACTCCAGATCATTCCTTCAGTTTAGAGCTAGGCAGTGAAGTTGATATCTCTGAAGGAGATAGGAAGCCTGACTCTGCTGCTTATATTACTCTAATTCCTCAGTGTGTAAAGGATGAAGACACCCCCTCAGATAATGACAGTGGCATCTGTATGAGCCCTGAGTCCTACCTGGGTTCTCCCCAGCATAGCCCCTCCACCTCCAGGGGATCACCAAGCAGTCTGCCCTCTCCAGGTGTTCCCTGTGGGTCACCAAGACCCAAACCTTATGACCCCCCTGGGGTTACTTTAACAGCTAAAGTAAAATTTGAAAAGTTAGATAAGAAGCTAAAAAAAATGGAGCAAAACAAGACAGCAGCCACTAGATACCGCCAGAAGAAGCGGGCTGAGCAGGAAGCACTCACAGGCGAGTGTAAAGAGCTAGAGAAGAAGAATGAAGCTCTTAAAGAGAAGGCAGATTCTCTTGCCAAAGAGATCCAGTATCTAAAAGATTTGATAGAGGAGGTCCGTAAGGCAAGGGGGAAGAAGAGAGTTCCCTAGTTAGGGTAGTGCTTTGTGATTGTACATAGTCTTGTGATGAAGCTGTGTTTGCTGTAATAAATTATTTTGTAGTGAAGTACCAATGCAGGTTTGCTGTGGTGTTTCTGACTTCTGTTGAGTGGCAGGTGTGTAGCTGACTGAGCTGTTTAGGTAATGAGGAAAGGTATAATGCCTGCTAGCTATTCTGAGGGAAACCACCTGAACTCCATCTGTTCATAATTGGCTTTGTGCCAGACACCTGCCATGTAGGCACCCGATAACGTGGTGTATGTACTTAAGCACACAAGCCGATTAGATTTCTGCCCTGTTGAGGGCAGAAAAGCCAATTACTGAGGGCTAGACTGAGAAGCAGTTCAGCTGGGTAATGTCAAGGGGCTGGTGTGATTAAGCAATGGGTGGACACTGTCTACAGGGTAGGAAATTTGCACATAAGAATTAACCCAGCACTTGGAAAGCAGAGGCAGGTGGATCTGAGGACAGCAAAACTACACCTAGATACCCTGTTGCTGGGGTGGTGGTGAAGGGAAGAATTGGCAGGAAGCTGAGATGGGATGCCCTGCACTCCAGGGTAGTAAATCCACCTGTAAAGCAGATTAAGGCCTTCAGGGTTAGTGGTTTCCCTAACCAGCCTTCCCAGTGCCAACAGGTTCACCTGAGTTCTAGCTGTTGGAATGTAGTCCTTTGGATATGATCTAGGCTGAGAGCTGGAATTCCTAAACATGGGCCTCCCAGCCTCACACTAAGGGCCCACCCACATGTAGTCTTTGGCCAAGAGTGGAGAAAGCTATAAAAAACACTGGCTTTGTTTTTATTTTGAGCTGTGACCTTGAGTCTTTCCCTGTATTTCTGTTCCATGGCCATTATGTTAGGCTTCTTTAAAGATCCACCCCGATTCCCCACTCCCATCTGAACAGCTAAACTCAACAGCTACATGAGATTTTTCAGAGTGGTATGAACTTGGCCATGTGTATTTGTACTGATAAATTCTAAATTCTATACTGTTATTTAAACAGATGTCACAAATGTCCTGGTTATTTGATTTTCAGTTACTTGGTATCTTGCTTTTGGATGAAGGAAGCAGGAGCAGCAGGCAGGCCTTTTGGCTTACCCTTTTTATGCTGGCAGAAGCTGGACTATCTTGGCCAGTGTGGTGGTGAATGTAGGGTTTAGAGAAAGAAAAGCCCAGGAAGAGTAAGTCTGCAGTGAGATCCAAGTGCTGAGCACCTCCCCAGGCCATAGTGGATGTCGAGTAAATGCTCAAAGGGGACTTCAAAGACAGGCCAGCTGAGGCTGAGGAAATCTCCCCAGTGCAGACTGCTGGCTCTCCTGACTAGGCCTTTAAGAATGGGGAAACTATGAAAAGGGAGAGCACCCCAGCCCACCTATCCTGAACCTGATCAGCTCCAGTTGGGCCTGGGACTCAGGTCTCCCCAACCAAGTCAGACCACTCTGACTAGTGTCTTGGTGGCTGACCCTGTGAATCCCTAAAATCAGTGCATAGCAGTCCTGATCTATCCAGCAGTGTGAATGGCCGAGGCCACAGCAGGAGTCACAGGAAGCATGAGGGATGAGAGTAGACTAGATCAGCAAACTTAAACTGGCCCAAATGTTCCTGGTAGCCTTTGCAGCCTTAGCTGGAGTAGGCTCCTTTGGTTTGAATGTAACAACTGGTATCCTCTTATTGGGACACTGGTTGGTAGGGCTAAAGATAATGGTTACAACTCCATTCTTAGCAGCAGGTCAAGGACTTAATACCAAGAAAGGTACAGGATCTCTGTTGGCATCCTTGACCATGTGACCAAAGTGTGTGCACCCCAGGAAGGGGCTTTAGAGCCCTCTACAAGAGTAAGTACTGAATTGTTGGTAAGTGGCTGATTTAAGGTGGAGGAAATGAGTCCCCAAGGCCACCTGGATTTGTAAAACCCAGCAAGCTGGAAGAAAGGGTGGAGGGTTTGAAAACCAGCAGCCATCTCCCTTTGAACAGCCCACTTAGAGGGCCCAGAGTTCCCAATCACTAGCTTATAGTCACAGCACCCACCCTCCCTCCTGTTCCTGCTTGCTCTGACCTGGATGAATGGCCATGCTTCCCATCAGGCAGAGTCCACTCTTTACTTGCTATAGGTAGTTCTGTGTCCCCAAGCTAAGATGCAACACTGTTTAAAGGCAAAGGAGAGATGCCTATAGTGGGGGGAAGTAGACCCTGTTCTCTTACTGAGGACAAAGTCCAACCACTGTCTTACAGGGGCTCATCAATACCCTTCTGCTACTAGAAGCTCTGGGATGTGCCCGGGTTCAGGAGTCCCATGACTTGATGAACCCTTGGGCTGAAAATGCAAAGACAGGCTCTGGGGAGAAGATGGTGGTTTGAAGGACATCAGTTTTCTCCTTAGGGTTCCATCTAGCTCCATTAGAGGGTGTCCTGGTTTCAGTGACAGGTCATCTCTTCTCCACTGGAGAGTAGCTGTTTGTGCCCTTCTTTCCATAGTGTTATTCCATGTGACCTTTGCCACCTATGTCTGGCACTGCGTTTCCTAGAAAGGGTACAGTTTGCCATGAGGTGGCACAACCATGGCTTTCACTGCTGTCCTTGGCTGGGGTACAGACTTAAATGTCAGTGTTTGCTTAGGATGACTCCTGAAACCCTGACTTATGCCCCTATCCCATGCACCATAAGTACCTAGCTGGCTTTTCGCTCTCTACTGGTATCATAGCAGACCCCAAGCTACAGGAGGGCTGAGGCAGCTCCACTCTACACTCCTAGACCTACAGTGCTCTGTTTCTCTTTTAGACAGATTCAATCTCATGAAGCCGCAACACTAGCAGCTAGTAGCCATGCCCAGAGAGGAGGGCATTGCTGGTTGAAGGCTTCCTATGGCTCCTATGGGGTCTAAACTGGGGGACCAGACATGGAGCACCTGCATCCACGTTAAGATGGGAGATGTAAGTCACATCAACATCGCACACGCACACACACAATTTGAAATGAACACACATTTGCTCAGATCCACATTTACTTGAACCCAACAGCTGACATATAGTTCTTGAGAGGGCCACGTACCTGGCCGTTTCACAGCAAAGAGCCCTAGGGTCTTGTCCTGGTCAAAGGTCACAGGTCAGAATTTTTTCTGACAGGGCATGGATGGCTCCAACCAAATCAACACAAGTCTATTTCAATTTGAGGGCAAATTTGCCCCAGGGCTTGTAGTTCTATTCCAGTGTCCCTGGAATACCAGCTCTAGAGGCTTCCTGAGCCAGGCTAGATTGCACTGTCACATGCTGGTCACCCATGGCACAGAGACAGCGGAGGTATGGCAATCAAGGGAGGTTAGTCCCTTGTGTCCCCACTATTCCTCCAGGAAGCCTAGCTGCCAAAATATTCCCTCTGGAATTTCTGGAAGTCTTCTTCAGTGAACACAGTGCCCTCAGCCTTCTTCTTCTTCGTCTTGGCCACTACCCGATCACAAGCTTTGCGGCCTTGGTTCTGCTGCAGAATCTGGAAAGGTTCTGGAGTGAGGGTACAGAACTCCCATTTTTGGAAGCATAGGTGGAAACCCTTCAGATCATATAGCTCAGGGTAGGGCTGGACCAGCTCCACACTGTATTCAGAGCTGAGACAGATTCACACAGATCCTCAAAAACAGCCTCAGCTGTCACCCCATGTCCCTTCCTATAGCTTGCACCCCCAGACAAACCTGCTGGGTCACAGACTCTGGCACGGTGCTTCTCACGCTGGTCATAAACTTCAGATTTGCTTTGAGGTGGTCTTGACACTGTCGTTTCTGGTACTCAGCTGTGGGTGATAGGCAGGGCATGTCATTTCAGACTCATCGTACTATAGAAGGCTTCTGGGTCGCTCCTCCTGTCAAAGGCCCCACCATACCTTTCCTAGATTACTTCAATAGTCTGGGCTCTTTTCAGCCAAACTACTTGGTCTGCTGAAAGTCCCTGCCTATTGGATGGTTTTCTGTTAGTCATAACTCAATTACGCAACAGCTATGTCTTAAGCCAGGCATGTTGGTATACACACACCTGTGAGTCTAGTACTTGGGAGGCTGAGACAGAAAGCCTGCTCCCAGCTGCATGGTAAGTACCAGACCAGAAAGCATCATGTAACAAGACTGTTTAAAAACAACATAAGAAAAGCCCATCACCAACAATAAAATAAAACAATAAAAATAGGTATGCCCTGAGCTCAACTGTGTAAGTGTTGTAAGAAGCAGGACACACACAAGACTCCTGGTCTCATTTCTACAGGTGAGAAGTATGATAATGAGCATTTTAGAGGGTTATCTATTTTTTTCCTTGGGGGTGGGCAGTCTCACTCTGCATACTCTGCAGACCAGATTGGCCTCAATTTCAGAGATTCTTCTGCTGTGTTCTCCTGAATGCAGTCTAGCCAGGGTTATCCACCATACAAAGAAAAACTGAGCAGGAACAGAATAGGTGAGTGCCAGAAGTGGAGGGTTGCAATGTGAACAAAGTCCTAGGACGGCCTCACTGAAAAGACTGGACAGTCAAGAGTTGTCAAACATCTAGAGGAGCATTTTCAAGCTACCTAATGCTGCAACCCTTTAATACAGTTCTTCAGGTTGTGATGACCCCAATCATAAAATTATTTTAGTTGCTACTTCATAACTGTGATTTTGCTACTTTTATGAACTGTAATGTAAATATCTGTGTTTTCTGTTGGTCTTAGGTGACCCCTGTAAAAGGGTAATTTGACCCCCAGGAATTCCGATTGACAGGTTGAGGACCACTCATCTAAAGAAAGGGCATATGGGGACAGATGGAAAACAGTGCTAAATCCCTGAAGTGTAAGATGGGTGGTGGTGGAGCACACCAATCCCAGCACTTGGGAGGTAGAGTTGGGTGGATCTCTGAGTTTAAGGCCAGTCTGGTCTACAAAGCAAGTTCCAGGACAGCCAGGGCTGATGTACAGAGAAAATCTGTCTTGGGAGAGAGGGAAAAAAAGGAAGCAAAGAAGGAAGGAAGGAAGGAAAGAAAAGAAGGAAGGAAAATGAAGACACTGAAACCAGAATGATGTACTTCAGGACCCTGAGCGGAAGTGAGGCTTGGCTCATGATGGTTACCTTGGCTGCTGCTGAGATTAAGATCACTGAAAGAGCAGAGTGTGTATGTGTGCAAACACGCTCAAGAGTATATGGGGGTGGATGGATGGCATGGGGGAGGGGGTGGCTGTGGCTATGCACCCCTTTAGTCTCAGTGCTTGGGAGGCAGAGATAGGCAGATCTCTGAGTTCCAGGCCAGCCTGGTCTACGAGTGAGTTCCAGGATAGGCTCTAAAGCTACACAGAGACACTGTCATAGAAAACCAAAAAGATCACTGGGAGAGGTGAGCATGTGAGAGGCAGGGACTAGCCACGAGCTTCTGTACCATTCAGGCTGAGATAGCTCAGTGGCTGCCACCTTGGTTTAAGCTATCTCTAGACTGGCTGCTTTTCTGTCCTTTCCTTTTTAAGAATGGAATGCTTCACAAATTTGTGTGTCATCCTTGCGCAGGAGCCACCATGCTAATCTCTGTACACGTGCTGCTGAAGCGAGCATTGCCTGCCTTATGTTTTGAAATAGGGAGGGACTATGTAGACCAGGTTGGCCTTTAACAAGAGATCTACCTGTTTCTGACCCCAGAACACTGGGATTAAAGGCATGTGCCACCACCACTGGGCTCTTATCCTGCTATTTTTACCCACCCATTATGAACAAGCCAGTGGTCTGGTCACCACAGAAAATCAGGAGTCAGTGGTGGGAGGTTAGTCCTGTGTCTTGATTGAGGAGCTCCCACTTAGGACAGGAGTGAAGGGAATCCCAATAACTGGGCAGTGAGGCACCTCCACACGGGAGCTCTGCAAACCACTGGTGTCCAAACATGCATTCTAGCTCCACCTTTGCTCATGGTGTTTCCTCTTGAACTTCATCTTTTTTTTTTTTTTTTTTTTACATATTCTTAAAGGCTGGGTGTGGTGGTGCATGCCTGTGATCCCAACATTTAATTTGCTGACGCAGGAGATTGCTTTGAGTTCCAGGCCAGTCTGAACCACAGAGTGAGATCTTGTCAAAACAAACCATGCCCAAAACAAAATAAAACAAACAAGCAGACAACAACAAAACCCAAAGTGGGAGAAACAAAGAGTAAAACCCGAGTACCTTAACACCTTTTATTCAGCAGGGCCCAAGGACTCAAAGACAAGAAAGCAGCTCACCATTGCATGCCCCCTTCTCCTGAAGTCCATAGGCCTTACTGTGCCACACACCCTAAGATGTTCTATTAGAAACAAGGTTTCTGCTTTGCAGATAGTTACTTTGTAAGGCCCATCAACTCACTTCCTGTTATCTCTGTTGTGATGGAGGAAGAGAGCCTGGTCAGAGCCAGACCATGGGGACACACAGCCTGTTCCCACTTGTGCCACCTAGGCAGGTGCCTGTTTCTGTATCTGTAAAACGGGTGACACAACTGCTAACCTCACAGGGTCGCTGTGCGTGTCAAGTTAACACTTTTTCAGGGTTTTGGAGGGCATCTGGCACCCAGAGAAGTAAACTGTTGGGTTAACATGCCATTTCTTAAAAAGAGAGAATTTATGTGTTCATGTGTACCCCAAGTGAGAAGGTGCCTACGGAGCTACAAGAGGACATCTAATTTCCTGGAGTTACAGGTGGATGTGAGTCACCACGTGGGTTGCTGGGAACTCAACCCAGGTCCTCTGCAAGAGCAAGTACTCTTAACCACTGAGCCAGTCCACTTGCCCTGGTGCGTACTCCATCTTGACTCTTGTTCATGACACCTTTACCTGTTAGCCTTCTTTCTTGCAAATTCTCAAGCCTTTCTGGATAATGAACCACCCCCTTCTTTTTTCACCTGGCAGCTCTCGCATTTCCTCATGTGCTCAGCCTTAATTTGGCTTATTACTTTGACTCTCCCTTGGAGCATTGTAGAGCCTTTTATTTCACAAGCCTCACACACTCAGCAAAAACTTACATGCTAGTTTTGAGACTTTCTGATGCTTCTCTTCTCACTAAGACTATATAGTTCATAAGCACCTGGATCTTGCGTTTCATTCACCTTCACGGGCAGGTCTTGCCTTGAGCTCAACCCCGCAGCCAGGTATGACGACACTGAACTTCTTTCTGGTCCTCCTACCTCCGCCTCCAAAGTGCTGGGAGAACAGGTGTGTTACCACTCCCGGCTTTCACTCTTTCTCTCATTCTGTTAACTACAGAGCAGATAAGAGGAAAGACTCGCAGCTGAGAGCCCAGCCTTCCATCATTTCCAGTCTTGCCCTTTCCTTGTTGAGTCTCGGATAATGTTTGGAGCTCCGCCACGAAGGCGCTGCTCCCTAACCCTGCGAAGCACTCGCAGACTCTTCCCCCACTCACCTAGGGCGGACTTAGGCACCTTTCCCTTCGCTGAGTTCCGTAGTTTCAGGCCCTGGGAGGCCTTTGCCTTTGCCCTCGCCCTCCGGGTCCGCGTCACCGGAGCTCCGCTTGCTTTGGCCTGGCCGCGGGCGGCACGAGGGGCTGTAGGGAAAGGCAGCGAAGGACCGAGTCGAAGGGCGTCCACTACCCCGTTCCCACCCTCCCAGTCACTTTCCTCGGGGCCTCCTGCACAGCGCAACGTCCCAGGGCCAGCCATCCTCACCCTCTGATGCTGCCAGAAGCTCCAGGCCGCGCCGCAGCAACGCAGCCGACATGCTGCCGAGCCCCGCCCACACGCCAAGCCTCATTTCCGCTCTGGCAGTGTTCGCTCTTAGGCGGAAACCGGAGCCAGAACCCAAGGTTCCGCAGCGGGCGGAAGTACCCCTTTAGGGCGCCGCCTGAAATGGGTTTTTCTAACCTCCGAGGAACTGGAGGTGTGTCCAAAGCACAGAAGCTACATTTGTTGTCTAATTCCTACCCAAGAGACCTTTTGTGAATGAGGCTATGCCTTCTTTGACAGCCTCGGCTTCCAGTCTCACTGGTCAATTTTGTTCCGGGCCAAGTATTGAAAAGTTAACAGTTTCTACAAAAGGAACTGTAAGACTATGGTGGCCTTGAATTCACTGTGTAGCTGAGGATAATTTTGAACTCATGATTTTCGTCTCTCTGCCTTCCAAGGGCCGGAATTATAACATAAGCCACTTTGCCAAGCTTAGACAGTTTTTCATGAACTTCAAAGCAACACAGAAATCCTGTGCACTGTGAGAATCTAGCTGGTCTCCACTAAGTCAGTCACATTAAAGACATTTGCTAGTGAAGCGAGGTGTCACACACTTGTAATCTTTTAAAAACTAATTTATTTTTATTTTATGTTTATTGGTGTTTTGCCTGCTTGTATGTCTGTGTGAGGGTGTCAGATCTTGGAGTTACAGACTGTTGTTAGCTGTCATGTGGGTGCTGGGAATTAAACCTGGGTCCTCTGGAAGAACAGCCAGTCCATTTAACTGCTGAGCCATCTCCTTAGCTCCCACTTGTAATCTTAATACTTGGGAAACTTAACTGGGAGTATTGTGAGTTCCAGGCCAACCGGGATTGCATACAAGACCCTGTCTCAAAAAACTAAGTAGATAAGAAGTAATGTGCTTTCCAAATAACATGCTTTGTTTTAAAAAACACATTTACTGCAAAATGCTGTTTATGTTGCCAAGCAATGAATTGGTTATTAAGTGAGTGAATCAGTGAATACTGCTGGGCATAATGGTACAACACTTATAATACCAGCACTCGGGAGGCTGAGGCAGGAGAATGACAAGTTTCAGGTCCGCTTACATAGCTACATACCGTTCTAGGCCAGCTTTGGCTGCTGAAGAGCTAAGATGTGTTAATAGCTTGGTGGTAGAATGTTTGAATTTAATCCCTAGTATTGAAAAAAAGGTCACATTTTAATAAAGCACACATAGGTAAATATTACACATGGATGTTCTTGGGGTACTGAGCTTTTGTTTTTAATTTTTAAAAAATATGTATGGATGTTTTGCCTGTGTGCAGGTATCTTGTTCACCATAGATGTTCCTTGTGCCTGTGGAAGCCAGAAGTGAGCATCAGATCCCCTGGAACTGGAGTTATAGACTTCTGTGAGGCATAGTTTAGGTGCTGGGAACAGTACCCAAGTCCATTGGAAGAGCAGCCAGTGCTCTTAACCCCTGGGCCATTTCTCCTGCCCTGACTTTAAAGAATTAAAAGGGCTGCTTAAACAAAAAGTTTGAGACTCTTCTTCACCGTTTCAATTTGTTTGTTTGTGTTGGTGATCATATGCAGGGCCTCTTGCGTTCCTGACAGGCTTTCTACCTCCAAACCCAGAAAAGGCTCTTTTTGCAGCTGGGAGAAACCCTGCCTGGTTTATTTCTCTCTCAGAGGCTCCTAACCAGCACCTGGCATGTGGGAGCCATGTAGCAACAGCCAGTTGGTAAATGGTGAGTGAAAAGGGCCATCTGAACTCACTGGACCAATGTGTACTAAGGGTTTTGCACTCCTGATGCTGTAGAATGTGGGCTACAAAAAATCCGCTGATTGTCCCTGGACAGCACTCATCATCCAAACTCTACTAACTAACCCAGAAGGGAGACACTCTTTATAACAAACACTAGCAAGGGTCAAGTTCCTGTTGTGTTTCACATGCATTAATTCTATTCATTGTGGTAGGAACTGTCTCAGGGGAGAGGCATCCAGTGTGGCTGCCCACATTTTGAGTATGTGACCATTAGGTGGTGCTGCAGGACAGCTTGCTTCACTTGGTCTACTTGCTTCACTGCCAGGGGTGGGGGGGATCTTAGTGTGGATGGATGTGTGAGGTCTCTCCCTGTGGTGCAGCGGACCCAGCTATAGCAAGGTGATCTTCTCCAGTCTTGTCTAGATGGGGAAGCTGAGGCAGAGCCAACAAGCTGGGCTGCCCAGGGTAGAGGCTAGGTCTCTTTCTAGAAATGTGTGCAAGAGTTATTGGGTGTCAACTGCTGAGGGACTGCAGAGGGCTGTGTGACTAGGTAAATCCATAGCAAAAAGCATCTTGTTTTCTTCATCTGTTTAAAAGGACATAGAAGCAGCTTCCTTATATGGTAGTCACCTATGATCAATGAATGGTGCACCTTCAAGGAGACTGAGTACTGCCTGGAACTGTTGGGAGCAACATTGTAGACATAACCTGTGCTGGCCTTCTCTATCCTCCCAGTCTGGAATGAACAGATGGACAGGGCAGCTGTTGTGGGCAGAGACACCCATGGGTGTTTGTCTCCTACTACATTTCCCCTGAGCCTTTAAAGATTAGGTTTGGGGGCGAGGGGGCTGGAGAGATGGCTCAGTGGTTAAGAGAACTGGCTGCTCTTCCAGAGGACCTGGGCTCAATTCCCAGCACCCATATGGCAGTTCACAATTGTCTATAACTCCAGTTTTCTGGTACCCATGGCAAAACAGCAATGTATGTAAAGTAGAAATAAATATGTTAAAAAAGAAAGAAAGAAAGATTGGGTTCAGGAAGGGCAGCTGCCTCCTGCTGGGCTCCGTGGGAGTTGGTGGGTTCAGTCTTGAGGCCTCTGGTTCATTCCTGTCCTGGCTGTGTAGCCTTGGGAAGTCAGTCTTTGCACTGGGTCGCTGCTGACAGGGTCCTTCTATCCATGGGTCCCCCTGGGTCCTGGGTTTGTTTCCTGGGTCCCTGCTGGGAATGTGCTTAAGGGGGAGAAGGGGTGTAGCTGTATAAAGGAAACAGTATAATCAGCCATCCTCTAGTCCTGGCTACTTTAGAACACCATCTCTGACTCCTCTGGTCCTCCTTTGGGATTAGCTTTGCCTTGGTTTCCCTCCGAGGGAAGAATTTTCTAGAAAGCCACACAGCATTTCCTACAGTGCCAGAGCTAGAGGCCAGTGCTACAAATCCAGAGCATGAGTGAATGTGAACAGGTTGCATGGATGTGTGAGCAGGAACAAGTATGTGCCAGCGCAGTCATGCACTAGTGTGCACGTGCGTGCGTGCATGTGTAGATGTGTGTGTACAAAGTCTTTAACTGTGTTTTAGGTTATTTTTTTTTTTTTGAGAGAGAATCTTATATAGCTCAGGGTGACCTCAAACTGATGCATAACTGAGGATGACCTTGAACTTCTGATCCTCCTGTCTCTGCCTCCTGAGTGCTGGGATTACAGGCATGAGCCACCATGTCCCTAATTTTAAAAAAAAATTGTTTTTGAGATAGCATTTCTCTGTAGCCCTGACTGTTCTGGAATTTGCTATGTAGACCAGACTGACTTTGAACTTAGAGATCTGTTTGTCTCTGCCTCCTGAGTGCTGGGATTAAAGAGGTGTGTGTAACCACTGCCTTTGTTTAGATTTTTAAAAAAATTATTATTTTTAAAAATTATCGGGGCTGGGAAGATTATAGCTCAGAGTGCTCACTGGGTGAGTATAAGGAGCCGAGTTAATCTCTATAGCTTTCATCTAAGAAGGCAGGTGTGAGCACGCACACCCATAACCCTGGTGCTGTGAGGGGCAGAGACAGGAGGGTCACAGGGGTCTTCAGGTGCCTGTCTAGCTCCAGGTTCAGTGAGGACATTCAACATCCTCCTCTGGCCTCTGCCCCTGAATGCTGATATGTCCATGTAATGAGAGCAACAGAGAGAGAATGAGACACACACACACACACACACACACACACACACAGGTTTCATGTTTTCTGAGGGCCAGTGTGCTGCTGCCACTCCCCTCAGACATCTTTCCATGTCCGTGTTTTCACTTCCCCTCCTGACTGTACCCTTTCCCACCTTTGCTCACTCTTCCTGACTCTGTCTCTTTATGTCTATGACTTTCCTCCTTGAGGTCTCTGCTTGCTGTCCCTGACCCTCTGTCTCTGACCCTGTCTCTCAGAATCTCTGTTGTCTCTGACTTTGTGTCTCTGATTATGTCCTTCGGGTCTCCCTTTTCTATCTCTTTCCTTTTCTGGCTCCAACTGCCAGTCCCTCAGCCCCTGGCCTCTCTCCACCTTAAAATTGAAAACCAAATGAAATTTCCAGCTGCCTTTTCCACTGGCTGCAAATGCCCCGGTCTCCTGTTTTCTCCTTGCCACCTCCTGACTCTCTCTCAGATCCTCACATGGCTTGTTGGTGCAATGAGGCCAATGATTAGATGGAAACCTGTGTGTGCAACTAAGCACTGCTGGGAGTCTGGCCCTGCCTGCTTCTGAGACCCTCCACTCTCCATTTGGGACTTTCCTCCTTCTTGGAAGATATTTCACAGCCCATGCTGTCACAGCCATCATGCCTCCTCAGGGATCTGACCTGTGGTAGGGGACTGGATTAAAGGGAGACTGGGTTTCCAGAGTGTGGGGCTACCATAGGGATTCAGCTCACATACAAGCCAACTTTTTCTCCGGCCTCCTCTGAGAACTGGCTTTTGAGCAATGTCCTCACCTTCTCCGGGGCTGCTGGGGGCTCCAAACTCCAGCCTTTCCACCCTTGCTTCTGCCCCTACTATCTGGGCTCAGGCAGGACAGAGGAGGGAGGAGGAATCTTGGGCTTTCTGGAGACTGAGCCTACCTCTCCCCGGTTTTGTTCTGTAATAGTCTCCTTAAACCCAGTCCATTGGTGGAGCCCAATCTTTGTCCCCACAGGGCATCCATCTTCATACTCTGTTAGGATCGCTGTTACAGGGATGGGAGATGGCTCAGCAGTTAAGAGCATCTTCTGCTCTTCTAGAGGACCTGAATTCAGTTCCCAGGATCCACATCAGGCCTTTAATACTAGCTTTAGGCAAGACAGCTCACAACGTGTTAGCATCAACTTTAGGGGATCTGATCC